CCCCCCCCCTCAGAACTCGCTAACGGTATGTCGTATGGCTACCCAATTTTCAGAGGATGGTGTACTAGTTCAAATTTATCATATCTACAATTTTGATGTCATTATGACGTAATATGACGTCATTATGACGTCATTAGTGGGATTTTATTGGCCAAAACCGTCTAGATAGGCTATTCCCTGAAAACTAAATGGTATTCAACATAACTTTACCAAAAGTGTTTATGACAGAATATTAGAGTGTACTAAGTCTTATGTTGCCCATAGCAACACCGGTGACGTCATAAAATGACGTCATACATATTTAAGATATCCGCCATCCGCCATCATCAATGTTGAATTTTCAAAAATAGTTTTTTTTCGTGATAAAGCCTAAAATACATTGTAAACATACCAAAGACCTTCATTTAAACCTTTTTTGGAAAAAGAAATGTAACTATTGATGAAATTTTAGGGAAAATAACTTGTATATACCTGTTCTAATGATATGGTCCGCCATCTTGGATTTTGGCCAATGACGTCATCAAATTAGCATAAATTATGCATATTTAATGATAAAATTTACACAAATTCATATGGGATGTTATTAATATTAGAAACCATAAGTAACTTGACATAAAACCCATAAAATTTTATTCTTGAAACAAAAATTACTAAATTTAGCAAAAAATGCCTGTCAGAAACCCGTTGCCATGGCAACACAAAAAATTATTATCTTATTCCAATGATAAAAAATTGTTGCCAACAATATTTTAGGAAAAGTCACCAAGTTTGGTCATTCTAGCCCTAGCCATTCAGACGCTATGTGACATCAAAGTTGCCGCGGGCACTTTTAGCCCCCCCCCCCGGTCAAGATAGGGTTAAGTTTGGTAAAATCAACGGAAAAATCATTATTTTCACTCCAAAATTAATGCCCAAAATTGCGAATTTTCACGTTGGATAATTCCACAAAAAAAATTTTCCGGCAGAAATGACTGATGCTGGCAGAAAGACCCAAGCCTTGACTATACCTGAGTAAATTATTAAGAAAATTCTAGTACTGTAATTTTCTAAACAGTCCACGGGGTTGCAAATCCACCCCTACGAAGCCGCAGAGCGAAAACTAGGTCAAACGGGCGGATTACACTTGGCGCGCAAGGATACCCGGAAGTAAGGTTCGGAGCCAAAAGAAATTTCCACCCCAAAATCACCATTTCTTACACTCTTCAGCCATGTTAATGTTTAATGATACTTCGTGGCAGTTTACAAGAAATGTCACCTCAAACTTGGACCCTCAAAACCCTTTGTCACTTTTTTTACAACGGACTGACCCTGTCGCGGAAGAACTGGGGTGTGCACCGTTAAAGATTGGTGGCTTCTACGGCTACTACGAACTCATGAGGGGCACCGCCATCACCGAGGCCAAGGTTAATCACATGCTTTTACAATACACCGTCAGGTTTTGTACTCAGTTTTACTCCAAGTGTCCTTTACTAAAATACTTTTAGTACGAAACATGTACTAGAATCTCATCTTGAACGTTTTCTGAGTTAATTATCTGCACTCCCACTCAACGCTTACCATAGAGAGAAAAAGAGGCGGAATGGGCTTGGTAAGTTTAATTTTGTAAAACATGACAATCCACGGGTGAGTGAGTGGAAGAAGTTCAGATGTGCTCGAGTATGTGAGCTTCACCACTACCACTATTTCTGATTTCAATACAACAGATGACTTCCGGGTCGTGTGAGGTCAGGGGTCATTCCCGTGCATCTAATTAACTTATTTGATCTAAAGCGCAAATATTCACAATTATTACACAACTGACAATCCGCCAGAAAAGCATGTCTAACTCCCTCCGCGGCAAAACTCGCGTCGACCAGCAAAAATTCAACACCACTCCCGCACAAGTCTACATCGCCATGCTATATAGTCGTTTGTATATGTCACGTTAGTTTCCTTGAATTGCTGTAGAGTCTAAAAAGTAGAGTCTAAAAAGAGTCCGAACTAGAGTCTAAAAATGCGTCCAAAAAGCGTGCCTTCAGGTTGATCATCATTTCCTTTTTACATTAAAACCTCCGGGTAAATAACATATAAGAAGAATGTTTGTTTAAGTAGTAAGATTTTGGTATCCAAGCCATTGTCTGGTGTGCACTCTTTATTAGAGCTTTCTGCAAAGGTCGGCACGAAGGGACCTCTTGCGGATAGTGCATAAATTGCAGTTATAAATGCCATTGAGATCGTTACATTGAGTAGAGTTAGTGACCATTTTTATTGCACAAAGAACAACCAAGCTTGTAATAAGCCACAGTAAATTATATGGATGACATACTCCCCAGACTCTAAATCATATACAATAGGGAAGAATCAAGGCAGGTGAAAAGGGAACATTTGATCGTTTTCCGATTTTGCCATCATATGTATTGGTTTACAATACGGCACTTTAGACTGTCAACACTTGTCATCAAACACGAGCAATTGTTTCTCATGTTTGCCGGGTCCGGAAACCGTACTAACCTTTATTGTGACAACCATTACATCATCCATAGCGTTGAAACAAATTTGACCTCTTGCACAATGACAACCAGACAATATGGCGTCCCATGGCGAGTAACAAAACCACAAGATATACTAGGAACATTCCTAATAGTCTGTACTGATTCCGTAGTAGCGGCTTTGTAGGCACAGCCATTTACTGCAACAGTCGCAATGGGTTAGATGCTTGTTTGCTTTTGAATTAAAGGTTTCGCATTCCATTGGATGTCCTTCCTCTTCCACAATCTCCGGTCCAGAAATGAAGTTAAGCTTTGACTTACCTCTGTGGGCTTGCTTTGTACCACTTGCCGTCTTCTCGAGAAAAGTAAAGAGAAAAAGCAAGATTACCGTAATCTGCTGTCAGGGCCAATTACAGTTCTTTTTTTAGGGAGCAAACCACTTTTTCCTTAGCAACCACTTTCTCACCGAATGTAAAAAAAGTAACTTTTATGTTACATTTTGTTATGTACATGAATCTGTCAATATGAATTGAGAAATCATTTCTTTCATAGGTGTTTAATATGTTATTTTGGCGATTAAATAGAAATGATCCATTTTTTAATCTTCTTGTCATATATAAACAAATGTTACAGTGTCTCTTTATGCATTTTTTAATTATACTATATATGTAGTTTAAGAGCGGCTGTACTTATTTTCTAGAAACACCATAATCCCATTTATGACGTGAGACGTGTATTTTATGCTAGATATCATTATAAAGGATTAGAAGTATGCATGGAGTGGACTAATTATAGGGTTGGCAACTTAGGAATAAAAGCGGACTATATATCCTTCTAATCCGTCATTTTTTACAGTTGCACTACACCCATTTTACGAAATAAGAAATGATGAAATTTATGTATAAAAATTGCTAATTGTTGCAAATGAATACAAGCATAATGTTACTTCTTTTATTGCTTATATTATTGCTGATTTGTCACTGGTCACTGAAGTCATGGTAATATACCTGGACATTGCTGAAAACTGCTAACGTAATGTTACGCAAATATGATGACATATTTATTCCCAATGAACAGGCTGTTAAGTATTGTTATTGATATAAGGTTTGATAAGTAAGTAATGCCCAATACAAGCGTAGGGAAGCTGTAGAATCATAATGTGTAAGACATCTAGAGACGACTTACTCGCTTTAGAAGAAAAGACACACAGTTAGGTGTTTGAAGGTGTTTTTATTGTGTACTTTCTTGAGTATATATTCTTACGTCTTGGGTAAATAAGAATACTACGTATTCTAAGCAATGACCGGCTTTTCTATCGGAGTAAATCAATTGGTATAGCCTGTCAACAAACAGGATTAGAGCTTAAAGAAGTCACATCTTCAGCAGGCCTGTCAGGATGATTGTCACCAGTTAGGTTGATGGAGTGCTGTCTGAAAGAAATTAACAACAAACATAAATCCAATTGTAATATTTGCAATCAGCCTGCATTTTTAAAGAAGTGTTCAGGAAGAAATTGCGCACACATGGTTTGGGAAAAATACAATTCTGAGGACGACTACTAGGTCAACAGTTCGATATAAATGCACAAGAGATATTTGAAAATAAAAACAGGAATTGCAAAGTTATATCTATTTTACATGTTTTCCGAAGAAAATGTTTATGTTAGTTCGTTAAAGGGATTAACTTTATGTTTCCTGCATGGAGTTTGCCATTAGACATGGAATATTTCTCACCATCGCACTTGGTGACGAGATCAGACCAGATGACGTTCTCCTGGGAGTAACAGTACACCCCCAGGCGGCCTCCGCGGAGAGAGGCGTCCAGAACGTCACCGGAGTCCACCACAAGGAGACTGCCGGAGTACAGCCGGAACCTGGACGGAGAAAGGATAGGCAAATCAGACTTTGAAACAAGAAGGTGCGAGCTTATTTTACCTGAATAGATGATGTAAACATAACCTTATAGGCGAAGATAAATATGAGGACCAGCTTTCGAGTTCTTATGTAACCATTAGATCAGAGAGTAAAACAACTTAGAGTTCCTTATAGTGAAAAGTTTCAGGAATTCTTATGATGATAATGATGATGAAATGATATCACATGATATCACATTATCAAAGTATATCGCATTTATTAGTCATCTTGCATTGAAAAGCAAAAAAAAAAAAAAAAAATCTAACGCCGCGGAAAGACCCGTGCAATAGTGTCGGTCAGAACGCTGCTGCCTTGGACAACAAGTATTTAGCAGATCTGGATATTTTGATAGCTAACCTTGTTTTAGTGACTGTATTAAGTTTTAAACAATATTTTTTTATTGTTTCGAGTAAGTTATACTTAATCTACTGAAAAAAATTAGTGGCCATACAGCACAAGTCACAAGGGTAGACGTCGGAAGCCCCTCCCAAGTCAAAAGTGTACTGCACGTTACCTGATGAGCCCGATGTCCACCCGGTGCTTCAGCTCCCAGCGGTAGGCGGTGTTGTAGCTCCAGCCCACTTTGCCGGGATCCTCCCACAGCAACTTGGTCTGAGGTTCGAATAGGGAAGGGAATGTTATCAAACCTTTATTTATATTTGAGCATAATTCAGTTAATATTAAATTTTTATTTGTGGTTCCTTCAAGTACTGTTTTAAATGAAAAAAAATCATTCATCTGATTAAATGTTCACAACAATGAGGCACATGCTACGTAAGCAAAGAGTTGTGCACATCTTCACTTACAGTTTCAGTCCTACATCTCTTGTCATGACGTGATATTCATTATTTAATACATGAATTGTAATTATATCAAAAACAACGACTTACCTGTCCGGGGACCTCCTCACCCCTCCAAAGAGCCACTGACAGGTCATCACCAGGTCCGGTAGTCGAGTTCACCAACTGGTGATAAAAAACACTTTTCTTAAGAATATTTAAGCACATCGGCCATTGCAATATTATAAATGATAGCCCAAAAGCTTACGGACTTCTACATCATGTTGATTTATTACAAAGAGGCCACTGCAAAAAGAAATTATTTTTCCCTCCGGGTCTACTTCCGCCTATCTCTTTGACACAATGTGCACGTGGAATCGATACGTAGACAAAAGTATGAGCATCTAGATTATCATTTACACCAGCTTAATAGCAGGTACAGATTTCTATTTGCAGCTCAATTTATCTCAGTGTATTTCCACGGTAAATATTATTTTTCAGACTCAGTTGTCATACTAAAAATCCTCACCTTCAGCTGTACCCCCGCCTGTCCACCGCTGCTGTCCCCTGACTGTTTCCAGGACATCAGGTAGAACCGAGAGTTGCTCTGATAGCTGAAGACGAAACCCACAAAGTCGTCATCAACCTGGGTGTTCACAAAGAAAGTCCCACGGTAGTCCAAGTTGCCAAAGTAGTTCGGACCTGTGTGACAAAAATCGCCTTCAGTACCCTTGCCCATGCGTGTTTCAGTGCCGTTAGCGAAAACGCAAAACTAGATTTACCCTGTTTGAGTGATCACACACGGCTTTGGGAGGTATGTTTAAACTAGAGTTCGACAATCTCATACCTCCATGACATGTTTAGTGCTTTCGTAAAGCTTATGCATAGTGGTGATCACATAAATGGCTCACATTTACAATCCTGCTCATTAGCAAAATTGTAATACAAATTATTCACATAGCCCCTACCTAGTAACATACAACACACTGGTGAAATCCTTACCATTTAACATGGACAACGTATGATATTGTTGGTTATATGCAAGTATAACCTCTGACATACCTTTGCCAACTCATGTTTGCCATCCAAGCTGACGAATTATACATTTTTTACTGCCAATATGCAAATTATAAGAGTCCATTTGCATATATTATATCATTTGATCATATTCCCCGCCCAATGACAGGGTTATCTTAAGAAATAAGGTTATTCTAGCGTTTCCTCATAAATTATGCAAATGAGGTCCTGATTTGAATAAATTATGTTTAGTGATGTTCGCCTTAATTGAACTTATGACAGTATGACAAGTATTAAATTCACAGCAGTTACCACCATAAAATTGTACCAATTTGCCATTAATTATGTAAATTAGGTCTTCATTAACATAATCAATATCTACCAATGATGTTGTCGTTCTCAATTACATATGTCTAAAGTGTTTTTTATAGCCCTAATATGGAATACAGCAGATTTATAGAATTTCCTCATTAATTATGGAAATTAGATCCTGATTTGCATAATTGTATTTTAATCATGTCAAGCATCACTTAACCCTAAACAGTACACCTGGGGTCCGCGCGGACCCCAGCACTATATATTCTGTAATATCTTTTTGTTTCTAAAGATTTTTTTCTGAAATTTTAGGTAATTGTCACCCACAAAGTTGTCTCTTAATACAGTGCAGAAAACTCCGTTTCTACCATTTATAAAAAAATTATATCTGATTTTCTTTTGGGGTCCGCGCGGACCCCAGCCGGCTTTCGATCACAATGGATACACTGGCGTTCTTATACATTACCTTATTTCCGTTTTTATATGTTTTTATGCATTCATCGTATGTCTACCAAGTTTTCAGAGAATGGTGTAGTAATAGAATTAAATGTTAATAACTTTGGTGTAATTATTACGTCATATGACGTCAGAGCTAATAATATAGTCCGCCATATTGGATTTTGACCAATGACGTCATCAAATTAGCATATTCTATGCATATTAAATGATTTAACTTATATTTGATTATGTAAGATGTTATTAATGTTGGAAAAGAAGTGTAATTTTATATAAAACTCAGAAAATTTTTATGTTTAAACCAAAATTACTTCTATTTAAAAAAAACTACCCGTTGCCATGGCAACACAAAAAAACATCAACTAACTAGTATAAAACTAATATGAACTTTTTTCCAGAGACATTTTAGAAAAGGTCTCCAAATTTGATACTTCTAGCGCAAGCCGTTTAGCCGCTATCTGAGATCAAAGTTGGGCCTCAAAAGCCCCTTCAGTCTGAAATGGGTTTAAAAATCGGGTATTTCTTCTTGTCTTCTTTTCTTCACCAAAAAATAGAAAAAGTTCAAAATGTATGATTTTTGTATGTAATGTGGACACAGAGGTTCCCACATCAGTTTGCAAAACAATTGAGCTGGTAGCATGTTAATAATTTCTAAAAATTAGCAAAAAACTGCTCTGGGGTCCGCGCGGACCCCAGGTGTACAGATTAATCAGTCCGGGAAGGTGTACTGTTGAGGGTTAAGCTACCTACATACCAAAAATCATGATGATCCATCAAACGGTTGTTCAGTTATCCTCTCTCGAAGATTTTTAAAGAAACCACCCTGCAGTTCCAGAACAAGCCGCTAGGGGGGTCGAACTCACGTGACTTCTTCCTGAGGACAAGAGCTACCTTCCATCCAAATTTCATGACCCTAGCATGTCCAGATCGCGAGATATCAAAACCGGAAGTTGCGTTATCAAAATTTGATCCTGAGGAAATCATTTGTATGGAATTTCAAAGTATACCTACCTAGGGCAATGCCAGAGTCACTGTTCACTTTCTGAACGATTTCAGCCCCCTGTAACATATATGGAATTATTTTTAAGTTTGGTTTAAGCAAGCAATGGAATAGTGCGGATATTTAGCGTTCATTTTGCCAGTAACGTATGGATAATGTGGGTTGAGATCATCAACTAGTGTCAACTCTTGTATTTCAACACATAATAACAGATTTAAATTTTAATTTTAAGATTAATGATATGTCAAACCATGGCTCTTGTACGTTATTATACATTTTAAAGAAGATAAGGGGCATGCCCTGGTGTTAGTAGTTCAAACCTAACATTCCAATAACTATTGTAGTATTAAGGTCACATGAGTAGCACTGAATGGCAGCAGCTCCATTGCCCTTTTGGAATGTAGTCGGCGTACATAATAACAGTCACCGCCCAAACAACCCCTCCACCCCCGATCCTCGTGTTGTATGCTGAAAGTCCGAGGCTTAGGCATAAAATAGTTGCCCCCACCAGAAACCAATGCTCTACCAACAGAAATCGGCATCAAAACCATCGGTATGCTTTTCCTTATCTTGCTAATACCTCATTAAGGACCTCCCAAACCGGATCGGGTAGTTGGCTACCAGGACCGGCCAGGTTGACGGTTTGGTAGTTCCTGAAGTCCGTACGGGCGATGACCCCACTCTCAGGACACACGTCATCAGCGTCAGGCACGCCGTCCATGTCAAAATCACCGGTACAGACATCGCCTACTCCGTCTCCTTAAACAAGACATAGTAACATTGTATTTAGTATTTTGAAGCCGATGTCGTGATGTTCATGGGGATTTATGATATTGGACTACGATGGCTGGACGCAGGATCTTATCATTTTTTTTAAATTAAACACTGCATACATCACCTACCACAAGTCTAGAAACATATTAACATATTTTTTTTAATTTTCATACGGCATTTAATTAACTACAACGCCTTAAAAGTGTGGAAATTGTCTCACCGTCAAAGTCTGTATTGTCCGGGCTGGGAACCAGACGGCAGGTGTCCACGTCATCCAGTATAGTGTCGCCATCGTCATCATCGTCGCAAAGGTCCCCTGCAAAATATACTCAGTTTGGTTAAATACAGTCATTTGTAATACATCTAGTCAGGACGCATCTATTATAGCATCAATAGTGCATTCTATTATACTTGACGATAGGAAAAAACGAATTTCCAACAGTAGAGCTATTTTCATTTTCCTTTTTAATAGACGGATATATCCTTAAGATTTCAACAAAGCCAGGTATGGTCAACAATTTAATTGGAATTCTCAAAACTGAATCATTTGTCGATGAAGTAAGCAGATAGCTTATGCTGATGAAACAAGTATTTCAAACCTAACGACGCCTGTTAGCTTGTCACAAATGTTTTCACAGATGTATCCGAGGCCATTTTCAGCTATTTGTGACAGTGGCATTACCGTGGCTCATTCTCGATATCAGTAATTCTTATTCTAATAAATCCATGGCCCTGCCTAAAGGGACCCTTCCTAGGCCATGCTAAATGTAAAGCGTACCTGCCCCGTCCTTGTCCGTATCCAGTTGTTGACTGTTGGGGATGTCAGGACAGTTGTCCATGGAGTTTAGGATCCCGTCTGCATCGCTGTCGAAAGGAGAGCATTGGATATTTGTTCATGAATGTAACTATAGTTAATGGTTAAGATGAATGGTTCTATTTTTCTTAAAAGGACGAAACGACTTACGTTAGATCGTAATGACCCCATACCTGTCGGCATTGTCGCTGCAGGCATCACCGATAGAATTTTGGTCCAGATCGAACTGGATATAATGGAAACAAATATCAAGTCAGTAAGAAACATTTAAAAAAAACTTACTTCCCGCTAAATCTAGGCACTTAAATCACAAATATTCTTAAAACCTTGTTTGTTATGTTTGCGATTTTTGACATGAATAATACGGAAGTTACTACGCCCAGATGATGTAACTAACCTGATTCACGTTTGCAACAGTTAGGCAGTTGTCACAAATATCTCCGATCCCGTCTCCGTCAGTATCGTCCTGTTGAGCATTAGCCACGAACGGACAGTTGTCTTGGGTGTCAATAATCCCTAGAAACACATGTCGTCTATATGTCATTGATCAAAAATTACTTGAAAAAATCGTTATCGTTTAGTAGTAGTAGTAGTAAGCCTTTATTTAATCTCGAAAGCTTGTTCGGTACATACATATGACTGCTTTTCAACAAGGTCGAGGGTGAGGGCGGGGTCACGGATTACAAATCAAACCAAAATATAATACAAAATCAAACCAAAATACAAATCAAAATATAATAAAAAAATAAATAGTAAATCATCAGTCCGTAATCAGTCCAAGTCCCTTATCATACTTCTAAATGTTCCCAATGACTGGGCTGCTCGAACATGTGGTGGCGAGGAGTTCCACACAGTCGCACCCGAGTACCTCAGTGACCGCCTGTACACCGTCCATTTTGTTACGCCTCAAGCATATTTGTATTGTCATGGCGTATTTAGATGTTGTGTGTTTAAGTATGTCATGGGTTAACACCCTTATTTAAGTACCTTTTAAAAATAAAAGAATACAACTAAATAAACTTAAGGACATATGAAATGTGGCGACAGTCAAACGTACCGTCACTGTCGGCATCACTGTCGCACACATTCCCCACACCGTCCCCGTCAGTGTCCCGTTGGTCAGTGTTGATGTCCGTGGGACAGTTGTCACACACGTCACCCACTCCATCACCGTCACTGTCCGTCTGGTTTACGTTCACTAGCAGTGGGCAGTTGTCCTTCAAGGAGTAATCAACAACAAAAATCTACATTGTTTCTAAATAAGTGTGTTGCCATGTTTTGTTGTTAAACTATTTCACTATTTTTTTTCAAACCTACAGGCGTCAGTTAATATGCCAATTCCTTCTTTTCATCTACTGCCGTTGTTCTTAGGGCTAGACTCACCCCCCCCCCATTCATGATGCTAATAGGCCCCTAACATCCTCACATATATGAGCTAATTTCGTTTTCCCGGACAGTTTTGTTAGCGATGGGTATCATATTTTATACTTACCTCAACATTAAGGAACCCATCGTTGTCCATGTCATCATCACAGGCGTCTCCCATCTCATCCCCATCGGCGTTGTCCTGACCGCTGTTAGGGATACCTGGACAGTTGTCCTAGAGCATAAAAATTACACAGTTCGAATTCACATCATTAAAAAATAGCCAAAAGAGTTTTCATATCTGGTGTGGACAATTTTCGAATAACATAAAATAACAAATTAGTTCACCTCGTTAACAAATATCCGACATTTTTATCTTGTAAGGCCACACCTCCTTAATTTTATGGATGACATCCGCGCGCGCATTGATTTTCGTCTGTTCTCAAAACAAACAAAAAAAAAAGATCACGTCATCCGAGGCTCTGGCCTGGCTACTCCATGGTAGCTTGCTATATAGCGACAGTACGGAGCCGGTGGTAACTCAGGAGGATGGCACCCAGGCTACCAAAGCTCCACGACTCAAGACTTCAGTACATACGTACAGTGTCGATTCATAAATCCGAAAAAAGCCAGCATGTGCCGGCCTGTCGTATATGTTGCTATGTTCCGCCGCAAATTCACAATACCAGCTTTGCCTCTGTATTCCTGTGGTTTAGTAGCATTTTTATTTTTGGCCGGATTTTTATTTTATTCGCCCGCGCGCACTAGTTCGGGGGTCTTCAGAGGATAAAATCTATAAAATTAGGTCGGTGTTGCCTAACTTTATATGCGAATTGCTATCTTTTGTTTGAAAAAAAACGAACCGCGATATTCCGCAATACATCCCTCAATACCCTGAAATTGAGCACTCAATTAGGAGGGGGGCTCTTTGTAACGTGCGCCCAGCAATGCCGGACAATTTTGATCGTAAAAAAATGGTACAATTTGTAAAGATAGCGATCTTGGATTCGGATATACTGAAACATACATTTGTAATTAACAGTTTTATGTTCATGTGTAAGTAGGGATGTTTCTAAAATATGCATTTACTTCGATATAGAAACTGCTGAGGTGAAAATAAAAAGACGTGCATTATCACGGACATAATGGTACACAGATGCCCAATTACACAGAAATGCTCCGGCTTGCGTTGTTCCAACAAAGAAGAGCAAAATGTCTGGCAGTTTTAGCGTTGGATTTTTGTTTATTAAATCATATAAAGACATTCATGCATCTATCATTCTTTCAACTAGTTCGTAGTTATGTGAGATTTTTGTTTTAATCACACGAATCGGAACAAACTCAGAGTATCAAATGGTGGACATAAATCGCCCACGGCTGAGACCGCGTGGACCCGCCGCGCTGATAATTTTTCGTATTTTTTTTCCACAAATTATCAAGAATTACGTGAAAATGAGCTGGAATAAGTGCCATGTAAATCTCAGGATACAAAGGCTGCTCATTAACGACCGAAATCATAGGTTCGCAGAAGATGGCAGGAGAAGAACAATATGACTTCACCACATAGTGGTAAAGCCATAATAACTAAAGATTTAAGATACAAAACATTCAGCTAACGAGTGACAAGGATAACAGAGAGAGGGAGATGAAAAATCAAGTTTAAATGCAAAATGCATACCTTATTACACCTGGTATCGTTGCACGGCAGGTGCGCATCAGGATAACCGTCTTGGTCATTGTCAAGTCCACACGTAAGTCCGTCCTGGGACCCCGCCCAGCCAAATTCACACTGCAATGAAAATGTTTAGTTAATGTTCAATCAACAAAGTCAAAATTTCCACTTTTTGTCCTCAGTTTATAACGGCAAGCTTGTGTATGAACACCCTATGTTTTAATGCATTAATGCGTCAACACAAAAGCCATGTCATCGATATGATATGAAATGAAATGTTGCGTACTTGCAAAAACCCGCAAATTTGATGTCAACTTAAAGAATTATTAACCATGATCATCTGTTACTTTATAGCAAGACTTAAAGATTAATGTGAAGATTGGAAATTGCGAGTCAGTCTTACCTTGCACGTAAGCCGTCCCTTGACGTGGGTACAGCTGGAGCACAGTTCGTCTTTTCCGAGGCAAACTAAATGTTTTTTTGTAAACTTGTTTTAGTGTTTAGTGATTTTAAAAGAACATAAAAGAAAAGCAACAATCAATAAAATCTCTGTTTTAGCGGCATGTAATGTTGCTTACTAATAGGCAATTACGATCATTCTCACCTGACATGCATTGGGCCTCCTCCTTTGATCCAGAAAACACTGACCAGGTGTTGTGAGGACATTGTTTACAGTCCGTCTGTACCGGCTGGTCCTGGTACTCACCAACAGGGCAGTACTCACAGGTGTCCGTAGTCAGGTCATGGAACGTGCCGCGGGGACAGTCAACTGGAATACGTGTGGTCATAAATTTTCTTGAACAAGATTATTTGAAATTCGTTCAAGATTAATTCATTTTTTAAAAATCTTTTAAAATTGTGTTCAATTTCTAATTCATTCTTTTTTTTTAGCTTTTTAGACATCAATAAATAATTTAAACTTGTTGGCATCCTTCCGTCTCGGAAGACGATGGAATCCGTGCCATGGTCTAGATTTGTTGATAGATAAACTAGGAATGATTTAAACACATGAATTGAATTAATAATTAACCATCACAATCTTTTAGTTTAACTCACGACAATACGCCTCGAAGCTGTCTTGAAAACTCAGTTGCCCCTGGGTGCAGTTGAGGTCAAACTCCGCAAATCCAATGTCGATTGTGCCAACAGAGGCTAGTTGTCCGTTGATGTTCAAGGCGAACTGCTGGTTTGCAACCTTTTCTTCGATATCAAAGTAGATATCGTCCAGGGCATATATGAGGTTAGTTTGCTCAAGCTGGGTGATGTTTTCTGGTGCCAGAGAGCTGCTGGCAACTACCTTAAACCTCACTGTGAAGCCATTTGCAGATTTGTTGGGTTTTGAGACGAAAGTTTGCCCTCTTGTTCCGGCGGTTTGATGCTTTGATGTGTCCCCGCATTCTATTTCAATGTTCTCAAGCTCGATTGCAATCGATCCACCAGGTTGAAAGGATGGCAGCTGACTGAAGAGCTGTTGGAAGTTGGAGATGATTTCACCCATGCTGTTGAGACAGTCAATGCTGGAGAAGTAATGGACTGCTCCTAACATGTGTGGGCGTCCTGGACGGTATCTTCCTGTTTTAATTTAAAAGCAACACAATAAACTGTCCATTACTCTGCCATCCGATGGTTTAATAAGAGTTGGCGGTTCCTTACTCAACCAAGGAACACGTTTAAACCCATTATATTGAAGTTGATTTGTGATGTAGTACGGTTGATACTATAAATTTCATATTAAAAGACGTTCTGATTTATTCTAACCCTTCCTTTTTTTCCTTTTAATGTAACAACTCTGTGATTTCGTAAGGGAGCACTTCGGTGAAGACGTAACTTACTTCTTAAACTGTGCACTTTGTATGAAAAAAACAAAGGCTTTCCATGGTGTCTGCACGATGGCCACAGACATGTTTTGAACCCAAATCATGTTCCACAATGTTGTCCATGACGTCATTCGAATAGAACGCGTGTTCGAATTTGGAGTTACCGGCGGTCATTCGTATGTTTCCCCTGTAAACCCGCGTTGTTACGCATTTTATTGACGAAGTATGACTTAAACGGCTTTACGCGCAGCTGAAAACAACATAATTGATCTTTAGAGTAATCCATGTTTGCGTATTATCACTTTCTTATTAACCTTACCTAGACCGGGCTTTTTGGGGCTTGGTGGGACGGGGGGGGGGGGCTCATTTGACCTCGCGACAGGTATGTAGTATGACCACCAAATTTTTAGATGATGGTGTACTAGTTGAAAATTTATATCTACAATGTTTACGTCGTTTTTACGTAATTTGACGTCATTATGACGTCATTAATGTGATTTTATTGGCCCAAACCGTCTACATAGGTTATAAACTGAAAACTAAATGGTATACTACATAACTTTACCAAAAGTGTTTATGACAGATTATTATGGTGTACTAAGTCTTATGTTGCCCATAGCAACGCCGTTAACGTCAAAAAATGACGACAGGCATATTTAAGCTATCCGCCATCTTGGATCATTAATCTTGAATTTTCAAAAATATTTTTTCAGGATAAAGCCTTAAATATAATGTAAACATACTAAAGACCTTCATATACACCTTTTTTTTAAGAAATGGAAGTATTGATGAAATTTTAAAGAAAATAACCTGTATATACCTGTTTTAATGATATGGTCCGCCATCTTGGATTTAGACCAATGACGTCATCAAATTAGCATAAGTTATGCATATTTAATAATAAATTTACATAAAATTATATGGGGTCTTATTAATATTAGAAACCATGTGTAACTTGGCATAAAGCCCATAAAATTTATCCGATGCTATTTAGCATTAATTTGGATGTTTTCTTACTGGGACGATTTTTTCAAAACAGAAATTGCCAAAAATAGCTGTTTCTCGTAGTCTTTACGCAAAAAAAAAAAAAAAATACCCATTTTAAACAAAAAAACCTTGGACAGAAATAACCCGTATGGGCATGGCTCTCATCTTGTAGAATTAAAGATGGACGGTGTTATTACCGCCTGCGCGTAAATTCATTAAATAAACGGCTATTTCTTTAGCCAAAATTGGTATCTTTAACCAAAAATTTAGGTGAAGAAAAACTGAAGTACCCTTTATTCAATGCGTTTTAAGTACAACTAAAATGTGCGAAGTTTGGTCGCGGTGTAACTGGGCTATCAAAAGTGACATGACATTCATGTATAGAATATTACTTTCACATAAGCCTAGGCCGCCTTAACCCAACCGAGATCTTGAACACATAAGAATTAAAATCACACCTGTGCAGTCCGGCCAAGGGCTACTCTTGCCTACCACGGGATCAGAGTCCGCGAACCAGCCCCCATTAGCCCAGCACGTGTAGACCTGAGCAGGTCTTATGGCGAACTCCTTGTCGTCCCGACAGTACACAGTACAGAACATGGATCCTGTCGTGTCATCTGTCACCGAACAGGCTTTGCCACCATTCAAGGGAGGGTCGTAATCTTCACTACAGGGTGCTGGGCGAAAAGAAATGAGGGTAAGTCAACAGTAAAAGCGATGTTACTTTGTATCTTTCACTCTGTCTTCTGATATTAGTTAACTGGTATACCTATTAATTTTCAGACCTTGTTGCTGATAATGAATTGTATCCTATGTCCACTAATGATCAGACTCACATTGAAGTCTTTGTAGAAAATTGGCACTCGGCATGAACAAACATATAGGCAAATTGTAAATTACATTTATAAAAAAGAAACAAGCATATCTTATTGCCAAAGTGTAATTGATGCTTGCACGAGCATCAAGTCTAAAAACATGCCTTTATACGTTGGTCAAGCAAAACGACATGTCTCTATATTGCTATCTGCAACATATCTTAATAAGGCATTCGGATTATTTGCACTTATACATTTTCCGTGGCCCGAATTTCAATACCAATTACATCTAACATAAAAATTACCTATTCTTTATAGAAAAAAAAATCGGTGTGTGGTAAACTCACCTGTTTGGCATCTCTCTCCCTTGAATCCAGGTAAGCACACACAGGAGAATGTGTTATCACCATCAACACATGTGCCGCCGTTGTCACATGCTCCTGGGACGCAGTTGTCAGTTTCTATTTCTTTAAGGAGAATGTTTCTATGTTATTTTTAAGTAGAATGTTTCTATATTACTTGCACTCATTCACGTTACTTCAAAATTGAAAGAAACAACACCATTGCTCTGTTTGTCTCTAATAAGGTTGATGAACTTTGAATGAATAGAAATCAGCCCCAAAAGAATGTAGCTGGCCAGGGGAGATAGTCGGCCAGACAAGCTCCATTGGCCTGCGCGGAGTCTGTGAAGTCGCTAATCCTCTTTGTTGTCCACAAATGGTTTTTAACAGGTGCAAAGTGCCAGAATAAGCCGTTTATTGCTTTGCCTGTCAAGTGTGACAGGACTGAACTCTGAAAACTTGACAACCTAACATTCTAACTTTCTTGTCCACGGTGTGTCAAAAGAAAATTATATACCCAATGGTATTGGTAAATTGTTAAATAGGCGGTAGAATAAAATGATAATGAGCTATGATACATATATAACCGACAAAATCAGGAACTAATTTGAAGAAAATCCTCTAAAACAAATGTCTTCTGTGTCACCTTCAAAACGGACGGCATCGTCGCCATATTTGGGAAATAGAAGAGTCTATTTCCACGGTGTGAAGGGGAAAGGTTCCTTTGCAATACATTTCGTACTTCAAATCCATCTCAAATGATATGAAATGTGCCATTGTACAGAAATTATGTGACACAGTTATGTTTCACGTCAATTCGTATCAATATACGTTGAAGGGTGGATATGTCATGATAATTTAGATGTGTTCCATTAATTTAAAAAAGAAATCTTCTTGCAGCAAAAGAAAACAGCATTCCTCGGCCGCGTCTGCAAAAACTTCCCTCCAACTTCTACAACAAGATACACACATGGAATTTGATTTCAACCGCGCATCTGTGAAGAACAATAAAGCGTGTATGCTTTACTCGGCAGGATGATTGGAATTTAAAACCAGGGATTTTGCAGGTTTCTTTACGCTCGTCTATCTGAACATGTGCCAACGTGCACCGAGTAGGGAGGGATCGTCGGTATTTCTGTCCTTTACGTCGCAAAGCTTGGGGTTGTTTCTGCTAGATTTTTTAGTTGTTATTAATAAGGCCTGTCAGACAATAGGTGCTGATATTAGTTATAGTGTTTGCACACGAATAACGAGCTGGTACTGGCCACAACGGCCTGAATGTCCACATAATGGTCGTGTACTATAGATCGGCCAGGAGACACCACAGCGCTTGGTTGCACGCGGGCCTGCACGTCAGGTTGTTTATGACCTTAATAATCTGAGGATGTCGTGGTGGGAAAAAAGCCATGCAGACCAATCCATGTATTGGTGAATAGCACTCATTACAAACCATCAGGTAGGCGGCTACAGCTGCCCCATTCCATTCTGCGAGATAATAAGAAAGTACAGACCAACTTTAGGCAGCGTACTACAAAACACATACCATCCATCTTGCTCTGTAACCCTCAATCACTAGTCAACAAACAAGAGGAATTCCAGACGATACTACTACATTATGACTTTGAAATTGCACCCGTGACAGAGACCCGGGTTTTTCCTGTCATGATCGAGGCATGTCTGAATGTGGATGGTTATTAATTCTTCTCCAGAAGCCGCACTGAGAGGAGAGGGGGGGGTAGAATCATTTGTAAGTTGTACAAGAAATTGGAATGCCTGTGGATCTCAGTTAGGCCCAAACGCCTACCAAGAGGGCTGTCTGAATTTTTTTCTGCACTATGTACAACCCCCATGCATCCCGCCACCAAGACACACTGGTAAAGCACAGTATTATCACAATCCATAAAGGCGTTATGAAGTTATGCTGACTACAATGTGCGGAAAGACACACACACACACACACACACACACACACACAAACACACACACACACACACACACACACACACACACAGACGCACCAAAAACAATACCTCCATTTTTCATTCAGGTAACAGCCGTCTCTTTCTTTTAAGGCGATGGGGAAAATCCAATGTATTAGTTCAGGACTTACTGCTGGTCTATACGTCATTTGTCAGACCGGTGGTTGAATACTGTATTCCCGTATTGAATCCTGGACTCACGTGCATGGTTCCTGTCACATTCAAACAATAATCAGGTAATCCGTTTGGTAATGTTGGCTATATGGATTTTATCCCATGGGAACAAAAAAAAACTGATATAAGAGTGCGAAAAAATGGCAATGAAATGAAATCTAAATGGTCAAGAAGTTGAAAAAATGAGTATTGAACTTAAAGAATATGGGTGGTGAAAAGTAGACTCTTTGTATTTATTTCTTCATCGTTCCTTTTTTTCCTATTTTTTTCACCTTTTTCTTTTAGAATTTATTTTGGCATTCTGCGGCAGAAAAAAAAACATTCGTCGCAAAAACACACGGTAGTTAAGGATTAACCCTTCAACCACTATGTTTTTTTGGGACGAATCCTACCCTTTGGGATCAAAATTAATACCAAAATGTGTTGCACGAATACAGTTTATTTGTGACTCTGTGATTTTTATGTATGTATAGTTTAATGTATCTATAAGGGACAGTTTGACATGCTTAGGTGTGAATGATTTCTGCTCATTATCATAATTTATGCCCCTCACGCAAGATGCCTCCAGGCAGATACGTTGATGCCATTGACCGAGAGTCCAACGCCAACTAGGTCAAGTGTCACAATCTTTGAGTTTTCTGACTCAACTTGTTGATGTTATATGGTCAAGGGTCACAATCTTTGAGTTTTCTGACTCAACTTGTTGATGTTATATGGTCAAGGGTCACAATCTTTGAGTTTTCTGACTCAACTTGTTGATGTTATGTGGTCAAGGGTCAGAATCTTTGAGTTTTCTGACTCAACTTGTTGATGTTATATGGTCAAGTGTAACAATCTTTGAGTTTTCTGACTCAACTTGTTGATGTTATATGGTCAAGGGTCACAATCTTTGAGTTTTCTGACTCAACTTGTTGATGTTTTAAGGTTCCGGGTCGGAGTTTAATTCTGACCAGGGTTCCAAATAGTGCGCAGTAAATCGCCGGATCTGCGAGGTTGTCACGCTAGGTTTGGCTCCCCATAGCTCGGCGATCGCTGTAGATTTTCAACTAGGTTTTGAATTGATCAAAAAGCCTTGGGATTGTAGTGTTTTTCGGCGCGGTGAAGTTGGAAGGCCAGCGAAGCGTTTTTGGTATCAGTCCGCGAGCAAGGGTGATGCGGTTTGTCGCCTGATGACCCAAATAGCTGCGTTCTATGTGGAATTTCTAGGGGTTCGCGTCACCGGATTTTGCGAAAAACTTATCGCAACAACCTATATTTTTTTTCTGTTTTTCAGAAACAGGAAGTAGTAAGCTATTTCAGCATATAAGCCGTTAGCCTGGGAAAATTCGTTTTTTCCAAGCAGGTCCGTTGAAAAAACTGCAAAAAAACTACATTTTTCGTATCCAAAATTTACGTTTAACTACAGTTTCTACCCAAATTATAGAGTCGACGGACAATAACCAAAATTGTATCGGAAGCCGGTTGGAAACCTCCGTTGACTGCTGTAATGAGATTTCCCGGCGTACTTTTTTTGGCGGAGTTATAGCCCTTCGGTCTGAGGGTGTCCGCCGGATCCAAAATCGTGAAAAAAACTCCGGTCCGAGACCTTATGTACAGGTGAAGACTCACATGTGTTACAAATGCTGGCGTCAGATTTGACCTGACTGGACAAAGCATGAACTTTCTAGGATAACTCAATTAACAATGAGCCAATATCAGTAAAAATTATTAGATGTTAAAAGACATATATACAAACAAACTCGTAAAGGGGTTTCGTTTTCGACATGAAATGTCTGACCTTTTACCATCAATATTATAAATACTAAAACAGAACACAGGACACAAACCGTTACGCGTCACTTTTTAGCGTAATCTTAGTCATATATGATTTGAAAGGAGAAAGGAGCAGAAAGGATTTACATCCTATCATCATATAGCCAGAACAGAATTTTAAAGAAACATAAAATTACATTTTACACAATGATGAAACATACCCACCTAATTGCATGCATGAAAAATGGTGTTTGAGTGAATACAGAGTTCAAAAAGGATAATTAAAGTACAAAAAAGTCAATGATTTTCATGCTACTAACCGATGCAACTTGTAGATCCTGACAGCTCGTACCCACTTTGGCAAGTGCAGCTGTAGCTCCCCATAGTGTTGACACATCCGTGCTCACAGCCTCCGTTGTTACCGGCACATTCGTTGATGTCTGAATGGTATGAAAATTGTACGAAACTGAAACAACGGAGACAGCGGACGCATTTGCATATTTTAAGGAATATGTTTGTCACTAAAATTACACTTTAGGTGTTGATATGTCTTCTTAGTTTGATTTAAAGTTGTCTTATTCTTGTTAAGGGTTTGCTTTAAGATTAGGAAAGATCTATATATATATATATATATATATATATATATATATATATACATATATATTAATTTATTTTATTTATTTATTTATTGTCTATTTCAGGCTCAATGGTCCATAGCCCAGACATACAACATTACACAAACACATCTAAAATAAAACATCTAAGTGAGTGCAAATAGATAAAAGACTGTCGAGCCCTTATGGTGGGCGGACCAGTCTACAGTAATGGCCCCAGAATGGACTGGAGCAGAAGGTCTCCGAGCGGAGCAGCAGTTTGACAATTGCGTTCTCAGACGCTAAGAGACGCGAAGCAAAAGAGCACAACAACTTCCGACGCCTGTCATCAAACGTGTCTACACGCGACTGTACAAATAGGTCGCTGTTACTAGTACACCTAGGCTGAGACAGTAGGATTTTAAGACCATCGTGGTAAGCAACTGGTAGCCTATGAATGATTCCTGCTCTGTAGCTGGACCAAAGCTGAGCACAATACATTGCACTGCAGTGTGCTATTAACAGAGTGCGTTTCACCGCATGAGAACAGTGACCAAATTTGCGGATAAGTGAATTAGCTTTTGTGTACATATGCCTGGTTTGTTTACGAATAGAGTCGTCATCAGAAAAGTCGGGAGTGATTCGGAAGCCGAGGTAGGTGGCCGAAGAGACGTACGGTAAGGGTTTGCCGTTCAACTTCACGACGGGTGGCATTCCGTTCAGAGCAATTCGATCACATGGAAAGTACATACAGTTTTTTTTGGCACAGAAAATCATGTAACTATCGCTACCGAAGGCCTCACAGACATTAATCAGTTTCTGTACAGCTTTTGCTGAGGGGCAGATTAAACACAAGTCATCTGCGTAGAAGAGGTGGTTCACAGCAAAATTTCCAATAAAACAGCCCGCATTAGCGGCGTTTAACTTAGCACTAAGGTCGGAGACATAAACATTGAACAATAATGGGGACAAAAGGCTCCCCTGGGGGACACGCTTTAGAAGCGTCAAGAAAACAGACGAAGACAGGCGAAGCTCGGCGTCTGAAGTAGGAAATAATTTCCTTTAGGGCGAAAATGCACAAGTCTGTTCCATGGTGTGTTTTGAAACCAAACTGATTTGCAGGTGTAGCCAAGTGCTTCTCTAGGCAAATAAGCAGGAGGTATTCAAATAATTTAAAGATCGGACTGGAAATAGCAATGAGACGATAATTATTCCTGATAGAAGGGTTCAAGTTCTGCTTTTTGATTATTGGAATAATGATGACCTTCAGTAGGACAGAGGGGACATGGCCATGCCTCAGCATGGACGAAAATAAAATAGCGAGTAAAGTGGTTAGCCGAGGTCCCACATGCTTCAGGTGCTCAGCTGACAGGCCGTCCGAGTCGCATGACTTCCCGTTTGGGAGCGTATTGATCGCTGGTTAAATAATAATTGTTTTCTTATTCCAAAAACAGTTGCTCTCCAATAGACCAAATGCCATCTAAAAACTGCATTGATAAAAATCCAGTAAATCGACACGAAGAAACCTACTGGATTTTTTTTTTTAAACATTGTCCGATCGAACGTAGATGTTCAGACAAAACATATTTCTAAACTTAATATGTATGATAGATAGTCGGCTGAAGTATTGTAAAGAGACATTATCAGTAGATAGGGTATAATACAATTGTACCTGAGCAGGTCCTCCCATCTGGGTTCAGGAGGAAACCGCCGTCACAAATGCATGTAAAGCTGCCAACAATGTTCAAACACGTCTGCTGACAGTCATGTTGGGCTTCATCACACTCGTTTATATCTAATGAACGAGAAGAAAAAAAAAAAAAAAACATTACAACGCTATTCACACATGTATGGCAAAGTCTCATTTTACATCATCCGCAATTTAATAATTTTATAATACTTATGAAACTATACAAATGCCATCATGACCTGGGTAACTCCTGACTTACTGATTGTGTAGAAATATTACGGTGAAACAATAATGCTTTTAAGACTTTGGTATAAGGACAATGCTCCTTACATATAACACGAACCAAATAAGAAACGTATACTATTTTATACAAGTTTAAAGTAGTGAATGGATTATTGTTATCCTAAACACTAACCAAAACAAGAGACGCCGTCCACATCGAGCTGGTATCCTGCCTGGCAAGAACATCGGTAACTGCCGTGCTCATTGGTACAGATCTGGTCACATGGTCCACGTCCTCCGTTGATCACACACTCATCCGTGTCTGTATTTTAATAAGATATTCATGTTTACCGACGGAAAACATATTGTTTTTACTCAGTTTCCTCTTCCATTCCAAACACTAACCTCTGACCTGGCCAATGATATTATTTGTTGACGTCTGTCACCATGGTAACTGGTGTTGGGTTACATAATGTTGCAATCTTATATTGTTGGAGGGATTTGCATGTAGACTCCTGTCTGACCATATATATGCATGTATTTAAGTAAGAATTAACAGAGTAGACCACGTGCGAAGGTAAACTTCATGCATTTGCTTTGCAAATGTTACCTCTCTAGTTCTTATACATATTTGCTGTCGATAGGCTATAAGAAGCAAACAAATGCTATGTCGTCAATATGTTAACAAAAAGAAAATTTTAATTTAACTTTCCTAGTACCTGCTTAAGCGAATAGCCTACATCTCAAAACAATTACTCAATTTAATTGATTTTAAATAAAAACAATCTTTACATTTTATTTTCATTTTATGTATTCAGCTTTACAGAATTAACATTTTAAGGGGAGTCGGCAACAGGTAAAGTGTGTTCCTCTCCCAGACCGACTTCCCTAGAATCACACAACGAGACACACACTAAATGCAATATGTGTCGCCTTCAATAGCGAAACAAACATTAGTAGAGGTGCGAAAGGATTAGAGAGGATAAGTTTCTACGACATCATTACGGGTCTCGTGGAACATCACTTTCCGCTCAAGACTAGGTCGGTTCGGATGGACGACAAAAGCTGGATGACGAAAGAGGGTGAAACGAGCCATTTCACAGAGACAAAGGAATTCCAGCGACACCGAAAGTCGCCCTTGTGGAGACAGCTGAGAAACAAAGTGAAGACTGTGGTCCAGCAGGCCAAAAGCTGGCATTACAGAAACTGCATTCAGCAGTTAAAACGGGAAAACCCACGCAAATGGTGGCCATGTATAAACCGGGAGCTCGGCCGAATGCAGCAAAAGCCAGTTCTTCTCTGAGGCATGGTGTCAAGGTGCTCCACTCCACATGTTCCCTCTACCACTCGGTGACCCTGGTCCTGAACTGTGCTCAATTGGGGAGACCAAGTGCCTTCTGAAGTCTGTTAACCCTAAACAGTACACCTGGGGTCCACGCGGACCCCAGCACTATATATTCTGTAATATCTTTTTTGTTTCTAAAGATTTTTTCCTGAAATTTTAGGTAATTGTCACTCACAAAGTTGTCTCTCAATACAGTGCAGAAAACTCCGTTTCTACCATTTATAAAAAAAATTATATCTGATTTTCTTTTGGGGTCCGCGCGGACCCCAGCCAGCTTTCGATCATAATGGATACACTGGCGTTCGGATGGTGCAAACGTGATTTACTGCGGTAGATTCAAACAAGCCAACCTTGGTCAGAGTGATCTTTGCTGACATGAGTAAGGCATTTGATCGTGTGGATCATGCTCGGCTTCTGCAGCGGGTCATTGACATCCACTCCAGCCCTCGCATGCAGAGCCGCCGGCATGCAGAGCTACCTCCAGAACCGCCGGCAGAGGGTCGTTATCGACGGCGAGACTAGTTCATGGCGCACTCTAACGTCGGGGGTGCCACAGCGAGGGGTTCTTTCACCCTACCTGTTCATTCTTTTCATGAGCACGCGCACCACTGCACACAGTGACACAATGAACGTTGGGTATGCCGATGACGTCACGCTGTCAAGGACGTTGCCTTAGCTGACCAGGACACAACTGTAGAGGACGAGTCATCTCACCTCAAATCCTGGGCAGAGGACAACAAGATGACGCTGAACGGTGGGAAGAGCCTGCTTCTCCAGATCTGCTTCAGTCGATCGGTCCCAATCCTACCAACGATCACTCTTGGAGGTCAACCAGTGCCACCTATTGACTGTGCTAATTATAATAAGGGACTGGGTTTCCTCATAGACAAGGACCTAACCTTCAATAAACAAGTTACCTCCATGATCAGTAAGGCATCGCGCAGACTACACTATTTGCGCCTACTAACGAAACAAGGCACCAGCGTTACCGACCTAATCCAGATTTATCTGGCGCTAGTCCGGCCAGTGCTCGAATTCGGACATGTGTTACTGGTCGGGTGCAGTAAGGAGCAAGAACTGGCCATCGAAAGGGTCCAACGCCGGGCCTTGCGCATCATTTCCTTGGGAGGAAGGCGTAACGTGCTTGACCTGTCAACACTGAATTCGAGGAGGGAAGATGTGGCAGTACACCTGTTCCATGACTTAGTTTCGCCCACTAGGTCAGGTGCCACTGGACGGTAACTTAGAAACTCTGAAACAATCAGTCTACTTAAAGCCCGGACTAAGAGACTTGACAACCCGTTCCTTCATTGCGC